ACTCTCTTCCTCTGATGCGAAGACCCAGTTCGGCAATAGCTCCCGCGGAACTCCGGTGAAGCTTTTTCTCCTCGTTTCACGACCGTTTTCAACGATTCTTTCTCCGTTGGATTCCCCTCACGATGGGGAAGGTTTTTAGAAGCGTGTAAGCTCTTGTTTTTGGGTAAATAAATTTGCCGCAGCGTAGTATGATGAGTATATATGTATATATATGACTATACGAGAGTATGACTAAGCATAGGCGTTGCTTGAGGTGTGGAGATGTTTAGTAGGCAGCTCGTGTATTTATAAGCCCGATCCGAAGCTCTAGCTTGCAAGTTGCTGAAGATTGCTTCGTTGCATGTGGGTATGCCGGTCGTTAGTCTCGCACGGAGCTATGGTACCCATGTATGTAGTATGATGTATGTCATTCTTGGATATATATATTATCATTATGTACTTGTATATTATTGATATGTATGTTATTGGAGGTCTATTATTATGGTCATTGCATATGGGTTTGTTCGGCCAACTTCATGTGGGCATGTCAATTTGCATATGGGTATGTTCTTTATAGAATAGTCAATCGGAGTTAATCATTCTAGCTAGCATTATAAGGCTTCCCATAAAATATTTATTATGTTACTTGGTCCCAAAAGGTCACAATAATATAATGGTTGCATATATTATCAAAGTTTGTTAAAAGGGCACTTTTATTTATTTATGTCCTATTTTGTATGTATAATTATTACTTGTTATAAACATTTTTACCTGGCTAAAAATGTCAACAATGTTATAATTTTATCTGCTTCATTTTATCAGACTTATAAAATTATTTAGTTTTTTTTTTCGGGGTATCACATTCTACCCTCCTTAAAAGATGTTTCGTCCCGAAACATAAACTAAAGAAAATTTTATCCACAAATAAATACCACATCTTAGTTAATATTAAATTTATGGAGTGTCACAACCCAATTTGTAACACCCCCATTTTCCCTCCCAAAATAATACTTGAAATAGTAGATTTATTGATAATAAACTTGATTTATTCTTTCAAAACAGATAAAAAGTTTTGCAACGGAAATAACATTAATTGGGAAATGGGTGTTACCGCCACATCCGGTCATCTCTTAACCGGATGCACAGGCTATTCCAGAACAAAGTAAGTAAAACAAATATTTGACATAATTAAAATGTTTATTCTTGACTACGTTTTTCTAAGGCATCTCTAATCCGCTCTCAGACGCATGCAATCATCAATCAACATAGTCACCATTACCTGCACAAATAAAGTGCAGAAAAACAAAACAAGGAAATGGAAACAAAAATTAGCTTTAGAGCTAAGTAAGTACTACCCAACCCCGTAAAATAATCAGGTTTGGCGAAAAATAGTTTTTCATATAATAGTATATAAAAATGACACACTCCACTAAAATTCTTTTCTCTTTGATATTTCTCAAAATCACTTCTTTAATAAAGTCATCAACTTTTCTTTGAAAATACTATAGTAACTCTTCTCTTAGAACTTCTCAAAATTCACTTCTTCTCTATCTTCCTAGTAATTTAGAAGGGCGGTGCTCAACACTCTGGTTGAGCCCGGTGGTTACGTTATTATGTACGGCCACCCCGGGACTTTTGCCGGTACCACAACTGCTAATGGAAACGAAACGACTACCTTAAGTGTGCACACCCCCTAAAAGGGATTCCAAGCCCTCCGAGTAGTAAGTCGTCACGAGTAATCGGGACTCAGTCTACCAACTACCCCACCTTTAAAATTCTTGAATGATTAGGGACTACTACTATAACTTCTTCTTAAAAGGGATCATAGATCCAAACGTCACTTCAAACTCAAACTGTACTTCTTAGTAGTAGTAGCCTTAATCACCCTCCACATTTATCCGGATGTGGAAAACCGACACCACGGATTTCTCCCGGGTGCTCACCTCTTATGAAATCCTTAATTTTATCTTGAATTAAGTATACTTCAAAAATATTTCTCAATCTCTCTAAATAGTCTCAAAAATATTTAAAAATATTTAATATCCAAAAGAACTTCGTTTGCACTTCAAAAATACCATAAATCTAATATCTCCTCAAAATCACATACACATAATTCAAAATTCACTCTCTATCACAAAATGCATAATAAGCATATAATACGAGGAAATCATTTTGGATCGGCAGAGAAACTTACAGTAGGTCCTGACGCTCCTAATTCTCCTCCTCTACTCGGGTGTCTAAATAATCACCTTTTTAATTAAGATGACATAATTAGTCACTTATTCTATTTGTAATAATTTACCCGATTTTTCTCTTTTATTATTCGAATTTCGGTTATCTATTAATTATTAGTTAATCATTTTTATTAAGCTTACTTTATTTCGTAATCTAAGTTCTCATCTTATCTATTCATTTTTTTTAATTAACTTGGTACTTTAGTTTAACCCAATCCAATATCCGAATTAATTTATACTCAAAATATTAAAATGCCCGAATTATTTTCATTATATCTTAATACTAAAACAGCCATTAAATTAATCTTCTCTTGTAAAATATCCGAATCATAAATGTTAAACATTCAGAATACTTATAAATATCTCCGAATAACGTTACTTAGTAATTAATTTTATAAACAGCCAGAAATTATTAATTCAACAGTTCTAAAATAGTCATATATCTTAAAATATTGTTTAATTCGTGTATTATTTTTAACAAGTTAATTGATCCATTATTATGTAGTTTCCCCGACTAAAAATGACAAGTTTGTCCAAATAATTATTATCAACTAATCAATTTAATTCCATCTTTCAATATTGCTATCTCAAAATATTACGTAGTATTAGCTTTGCCTATGATTAGTATTATTTATTATGGAGTATTATTCATTATTCTGGTTATGGTGTATTTCTAGGATTACTCTCATCCCCTCCGTATTATATTAATGTTTAACAACTAGTCCAATAGTGTAATAATTCACTTAGCCTGAGTTTGATAATAATATAGCATGCACAGACCGTCTTCTTCGTTGTTCGAACACAGGAAACGCCGCAAACAATTGAAAAACGGTCAACGGGATGGCTTACCTTGGAGACGACGGACGGTTGGAAGGGCAACGGTAGGGGAGTCGTTCGAAGATGGAGACGGTACGGTCAATCAGTGGCGGCGGCAACTCTCTTCCTCTGATGCGAAGACCCAGTTCGGCAATAGCTCCCGCGGAACTCCGGTGAAGCTTTTTCTCCTCGTTTCACGACCGTTTTCAACGATTCTTTCTCCGTTGGATTCCCCTCACGATGGGGAATGTTTTTAGAAGCGTGTAAGCTCTTGTTTTTGGGTAAATAAATTTGCCGCAGCGTAGTATGATGAGTATATATGTATATATATGACTATACGAGAGTATGACTAAGCATAGGCGTTGCTTGAGGTGTGGAGATGTTTAGTAGGCAGCTCGTGTATTTATAAGCCCGGTCCGAAGCTCTAGCTTGCAAGTTGCTGAAGATTGCTTCGTTGCATGTGGGTATGCCGGTCGTTAGTCTCGCACGGAGCTATGGTACCCATGTATGTAGTATGATGTATGTCATTCTTGGATATATATATTATCATTATGTACTTGTATATTATTGATATGTATGTTATTGGAGGTCTATTATTATGGTCATTGCATATGGGTTTGTTCGGCCAACTTCATGTGGGCATGTCAATTTGCATATGGGTATGTTCTTTATAGAATAGTCAATCGGAGTTAATCATTCTAGCTAGCATTATAAGGCTTCCCATAAAATATTTATTATGTTACTTGGTCCCAAAAGGTCACAATAATATAATGGTTGCATATATTATCAAAGTTTGTTAAAAGGGCACTTTTATTTATTTATGTCCTATTTTGTATGTATAATTATTACTTGTTATAAACATTTTTACCTGGCTAAAAATGTCAACAATGTTATAATTTTATCTGCTTCATTTTATCAGACTTATAAAATTATTTAGTTTTTTTTTTCGGGGTATCACATTCTACCCTCCTTAAAAGATGTTTCGTCCCGAAACATAAACTAAAGAAAATTTTATCCACAAATAAATACCACATCTTAGTTAATATTAAATTTATGGAGTGTCACAACCCAATTTGTAACACCCCCATTTTCCCTCCCAAAATAATACTTGAAATAGTAGATTTATTGATAATAAACTTGATTTATTCTTTCAAAACAGATAAAAAGTTTTGCAACGGAAATAACATTAATTGGGAAATGGGTGTTACCGCCACATCCGGTCATCTCTTAACCGGATGCACAGGCTATTCCAGAACAAAGTAAGTAAAACAAATATTTGACATAATTAAAATGTTTATTCTTGACTACGTTTTTCTAAGGCATCTCTAATCCGCTCTCAGACGCATGCAATCATCAATCAACATAGTCACCATTACCTGCACAAATAAAGTGCAGAAAAACAAAACAAGGAAATGGAAACAAAAATTAGCTTTAGAGCTAAGTAAGTACTACCCAACCCCGTAAAATAATCAGGTTTGGCGAAAAATAGTTTTTCATATAATAGTATATAAAAATGACACACTCCACTAAAATTCTTTTCTCTTTGATATTTCTCAAAATCACTTCTTTAATAAAGTCATCAACTTTTCTTTGAAAATACTATAGTAACTCTTCTCTTAGAACTTCTCAAAATTCACTTCTTCTCTATCTTCCTAGTAATTTAGAAGGGCGGTGCTCAACACTCTGGTTGAGCCCGGTGGTTACGTTATTATGTACGGCCACCCCGGGACTTTTGCCGGTACCACAACTGCTAATGGAAACGAAACGACTACCTTAAGTGTGCACACCCCCTAAAAGGGATTCCAAGCCCTCCGAGTAGTAAGTCGTCACGAGTAATCGGGACTCAGTCTACCAACTACCCCACCTTTAAAATTCTTGAATGATTAGGGACTACTACTATAACTTCTTCTTAAAAGGGATCATAGATCCAAACGTCACTTCAAACTCAAACTGTACTTCTTAGTAGTAGTAGCCTTAATCACCCTCCACATTTATCCGGATGTGGAAAACCGACACCACGGATTTCTCCCGGGTGCTCACCTCTTATGAAATCCTTAATTTTATCTTGAATTAAGTATACTTCAAAAATATTTCTCAATCTCTCTAAATAGTCTCAAAAATATTTAAAAATATTTAATATCCAAAAGAACTTCGTTTGCACTTCAAAAATACCATAAATCTAATATCTCCTCAAAATCACATACACATAATTCAAAATTCACTCTCTATCACAAAATGCATAATAAGCATATAATACGAGGAAATCATTTTGGATCGGCAGAGAAACTTACAGTAGGTCCTGACGCTCCTAATTCTCCTCCTCTACTCGGGTGTCTAAATAATCACCTTTTTAATTAAGATGACATAATTAGTCACTTATTCTATTTGTAATAATTTACCCGATTTTTCTCTTTTATTATTCGAATTTCGGTTATCTATTAATTATTAGTTAATCATTTTTATTAAGCTTACTTTATTTCGTAATCTAAGTTCTCATCTTATCTATTCATTTTTTTTAATTAACTTGGTACTTTAGTTTAACCCAATCCAATATCCGAATTAATTTATACTCAAAATATTAAAATGCCCGAATTATTTTCATTATATCTTAATACTAAAACAGCCATTAAATTAATCTTCTCTTGTAAAATATCCGAATCATAAATGTTAAACATTCAGAATACTTATAAATATCTCCGAATAACGTTACTTAGTAATTAATTTTATAAACAGCCAGAAATTATTAATTCAACAGTTCTAAAATAGTCATATATCTTAAAATATTGTTTAATTCGTGTATTATTTTTAACAAGTTAATTGATCCATTATTATGTAGTTTCCCCGACTAAAAATGACAAGTTTGTCCAAATAATTATTATCAACTAATCAATTTAATTCCATCTTTCAATATTGCTATCTCAAAATATTACGTAGTATTAGCTTTGCCTATGATTAGTATTATTTATTATGGAGTATTATTCATTATTCTGGTTATGGTGTATTTCTAGGATTACTCTCATCCCCTCCGTATTATATTAATGTTTAACAACTAGTCCAATAGTGTAATAATTCACTTAGCCTGAGTTTGATAATAATATAGCATGCACAGACCGCCTTCTTCGTTGTTCGAACACAGGAAACGCCGCAAACAATTGAAAAACGGTCAACGGGATGGCTTACCTTGGAGACGACGGACGGTTGGAAGGGCAACGGTAGGGGAGTCGTTCGAAGATGGAGACGGTACGGTCAATCAGTGGCGGCGGCAACTCTCTTCCTCTGATGCGAAGACCCAGTTCGGCAATAGCTCCCGCGGAACTCCGGTGAAGCTTTTTCTCCTCGTTTCACGACCGTTTTCAACGATTCTTTCTCCGTTGGATTCCCCTCACGATGGGGAAGGTTTTTAGAAGCGTGTAAGCTCTTGTTTTTGGGTAAATAAATTTGCCGCAGCGTAGTATGATGAGTATATATGTATATATATGACTATACGAGAGTATGACTAAGCATAGGCGTTGCTTGAGGTGTGGAGATGTTTAGTAGGCAGCTCGTGTATTTATAAGCCCGATCCGAAGCTCTAGCTTGCAAGTTGCTGAAGATTGCTTCGTTGCATGTGGGTATGCCGGTCGTTAGTCTCACACGGAGCTATGGTACCCATGTATGTAGTATGATGTATGTCATTCTTGGATATATATATTATCATTATGTACTTGTATATTATTGATATGTATGTTATTGGAGGTCTATTATTATGGTCATTGCATATGGGTTTGTTCGGCCAACTTCATGTGGGCATGTCAATTTGCATATGGGTATGTTCTTTATAGAATAGTCAATCGGAGTTAATCATTCTAGCTAGCATTATAAGGCTTCCCATAAAATATTTATTATGTTACTTGGTCCCAAAAGGTCACAATAATATAATGGTTGCATATATTATCAAAGTTTGTTAAAAGGGCACTTTTATTTATTTATGTCCTATTTTGTATGTATAATTATTACTTGTTATAAACATTTTTACCTGGCTAAAAATGTCAACAATGTTATAATTTTATCTGCTTCATTTTATCAGACTTATAAAATTATTTAGTTTTTTTTTTCGGGGTATCACATTCTACCCTCCTTAAAAGATGTTTCGTCCCGAAACATAAACTAAAGAAAATTTTATCCACAAATAAATACCACATCTTAGTTAATATTAAATTTATGGAGTGTCACAACCCAATTTGTAACACCCCCATTTTCCCTCCCAAAATAATACTTGAAATAGTAGATTTATTGATAATAAACTTGATTTATTCTTTCAAAACAGATAAAAAGTTTTGCAACGGAAATAACATTAATTGGGAAATGGGTGTTACCGCCACATCCGGTCATCTCTTAACCGGATGCACAGGCTATTCCAGAACAAAGTAAGTAAAACAAATATTTGACATAATTAAAATGTTTATTCTTGACTACGTTTTTCTAAGGCATCTCTAATCCGCTCTCAGACGCATGCAATCATCAATCAACATAGTCACCATTACCTGCACAAATAAAGTGCAGAAAAACAAAACAAGGAAATGGAAACAAAAATTAGCTTTAGAGCTAAGTAAGTACTACCCAACCCCGTAAAATAATCAGGTTTGGCGAAAAATAGTTTTTCATATAATAGTATATAAAAATGACACACTCCACTAAAATTCTTTTCTCTTTGATATTTCTCAAAATCACTTCTTTAATAAAGTCATCAACTTTTCTTTGAAAATACTATAGTAACTCTTCTCTTAGAACTTCTCAAAATTCACTTCTTCTCTATCTTCCTAGTAATTTAGAAGGGCGGTGCTCAACACTCTGGTTGAGCCCGGTGGTTACGTTATTATGTACGGCCACCCCGGGACTTTTGCCGGTACCACAACTGCTAATGGAAACGAAACGACTACCTTAAGTGTGCACACCCCCTAAAAGGGATTCCAAGCCCTCCGAGTAGTAAGTCGTCACGAGTAATCGGGACTCAGTCTACCAACTACCCCACCTTTAAAATTCTTGAATGATTAGGGACTACTACTATAACTTCTTCTTAAAAGGGATCATAGATCCAAACGTCACTTCAAACTCAAACTGTACTTCTTAGTAGTAGTAGCCTTAATCACCCTCCACATTTATCCGGATGTGGAAAACCGACACCACGGATTTCTCCCGGGTGCTCACCTCTTATGAAATCCTTAATTTTATCTTGAATTAAGTATACTTCAAAAATATTTCTCAATCTCTCTAAATAGTCTCAAAAATATTTAAAAATATTTAATATCCAAAAGAACTTCGTTTGCACTTCAAAAATACCATAAATCTAATATCTCCTCAAAATCACATACACATAATTCAAAATTCACTCTCTATCACAAAATGCATAATAAGCATATAATACGAGGAAATCATTTTGGATCGGCAGAGAAACTTACAGTAGGTCCTGACGCTCCTAATTCTCCTCCTCTACTCGGGTGTCTAAATAATCACCTTTTTAATTAAGATGACATAATTAGTCACTTATTCTATTTGTAATAATTTACCCGATTTTTCTCTTTTATTATTCGAATTTCGGTTATCTATTAATTATTAGTTAATCATTTTTATTAAGCTTACTTTATTTCGTAATCTAAGTTCTCATCTTATCTATTCATTTTTTTTTAATTAACTTGGTACTTTAGTTTAACCCAATCCAATATCCGAATTAATTTATACTCAAAATATTAAAATGCCCGAATTATTTTCATTATATCTTAATACTAAAACAGCCATTAAATTAATCTTCTCTTGTAAAATATCCGAATCATAAATGTTAAACATTCAGAATACTTATAAATATCTCCGAATAACGTTACTTAGTAATTAATTTTATAAACAGCCAGAAATTATTAATTCAACAGTTCTAAAATAGTCATATATCTTAAAATATTGTTTAATTCGTGTATTATTTTTAACAAGTTAATTGATCCATTATTATGTAGTTTCCCCGACTAAAAATGACAAGTTTGTCCAAATAATTATTATCAACTAATCAATTTAATTCCATCTTTCAATATTGCTATCTCAAAATATTACGTAGTATTAGCTTTGCCTATGATTAGTATTATTTATTATGGAGTATTATTCATTATTCTGGTTATGGTGTATTTCTAGGATTACTCTCATCCCCTCCGTATTATATTAATGTTTAACAACTAGTCCAATAGTGTAATAATTCACTTAGCCTGAGTTTGATAATAATATAGCATGCACAGACCGTCTTCTTCGTTGTTCGAACACAGGAAACGCCGCAAACAATTGAAAAACGGTCAACGGGATGGCTTACCTTGGAGACGACGGACGGTTGGAAGGGCAACGGTAGGGGAGTCGTTCGAAGATGGAGACGGTACGGTCAATCAGTGGCGGCGGCAACTCTCTTCCTCTGATGCGAAGACCCAGTTCGGCAATAGCTCCCGCGGAACTCCGGTGAAGCTTTTTCTCCTCGTTTCACGACCGTTTTCAACGATTCTTTCTCCGTTGGATTCCCCTCACGATGGGGAAGGTTTTTAGAAGCGTGTAAGCTCTTGTTTTTGGGTAAATAAATTTGCCGCAGCGTAGTATGATGAGTATATATGTATATATATGACTATACGAGAGTATGACTAAGCATAGGCGTTGCTTGAGGTGTGGAGATGTTTAGTAGGCAGCTCGTGTATTTATAAGCCCGATCCGAAGCTCTAGCTTGCAAGTTGCTGAAGATTGCTTCGTTGCATGTGGGTATGCCGGTCGTTAGTCTCGCACGGAGCTATGGTACCCATGTATGTAGTATGATGTATGTCATTCTTGGATATATATTATCATTATGTACTTGTATATTATTGATATGTATGTTATTGGAGGTCTATTATTATGGTCATTGCATATGGGTTTGTTCGGCCAACTTCATGTGGGCATGTCAATTTGCATATGGGTATGTTCTTTATAGAATAGTCAATCGGAGTTAATCATTCTAGCTAGCATTATAAGGCTTCCCATAAAATATTTATTATGTTACTTGGTCCCAAAAGGTCACAATAATATAATGGTTGCATATATTATCAAAGTTTGTTAAAAGGGCACTTTTATTTATTTATGTCCTATTTTGTATGTATAATTATTACTTGTTATAAACATTTTTACCTGGCTAAAAATGTCAACAATGTTATAATTTTTTCTGCTTCATTTTATCAGACTTATAAAATTATTTAGTTTTTTTTTTCGGGGTATCACATTCTACCCTCCTTAAAAGATGTTTCGTCCCGAAACATAAACTAAAGAAAATTTTATCCACAAATAAATACCACATCTTAGTTAATATTAAATTTATGGAGTGTCACAACCCAATTTGTAACACCCCCATTTTCCCTCGCAAAATAATACTTGAAATAGTAGATTTATTGATAATAAACTTGATTTATTCTTTCAAAACAGATAAAAAGTTTTGCAACGGAAATAACATTAATTGGGAAATGGGTGTTACCGCCACATCCGGTCATCTCTTAACCGGATGCACAGGCTATTCCAGAACAAAGTAAGTAAAACAAATATTTGACATAATTAAAATGTTTATTCTTGACTACGTTTTTCTAAGGCATCTCTAATCCGCTCTCAGACGCATGCAATCATCAATCAACATAGTCACCATTACCTGCACAAATAAAGTGCAGAAAAACAAAACAAGGAAATGGAAACAAAAATTAGCTTTAGAGCTAAGTAAGTACTACCCAACCCCGTAAAATAATCAGGTTTGGCGAAAAATAGTTTTTCATATAATAGTATATAAAAATGACACACTCCACTAAAATTCTTTTCTCTTTGATATTTCTCAAAATCACTTCTTTAATAAAGTCATCAACTTTTCTTTGAAAATACTATAGTAACTCTTCTCTTAGAACTTCTCAAAATTCACTTCTTCTCTATCTTCCTAGTAATTTAGAAGGGCGGTGCTCAACACTCTGGTTGAGCCCGGTGGTTACGTTATTATGTACGGCCACCCCGGGACTTTTGCCGGTACCACAACTGCTAATGGAAACGAAACGACTACCTTAAGTGTGCACACCCCCTAAAAGGGATTCCAAGCCCTCCGAGTAGTAAGTCGTCACGAGTAATCGGGACTCAGTCTACCAACTACCCCACCTTTAAAATTCTTGAATGATTAGGGACTACTACTATAACTTCTTCTTAAAAGGGATCATAGATCCAAACGTCACTTCAAACTCAAACTGTACTTCTTAGTAGTAGTAGCCTTAATCACCCTCCACATTTATCCGGATGTGGAAAACCGACACCACGGATTTCTCCCGGGTGCTCACCTCTTATGAAATCCTTAATTTTATCTTGAATTAAGTATACTTCAAAAATATTTCTCAATCTCTCTAAATAGTCTCAAAAATATTTAAAAATATTTAATATCCAAAAGAACTTCGTTTGCACTTCAAAAATACCATAAATCTAATATCTCCTCAAAATCACATACACATAATTCAAAATTCACTCTCTATCACAAAATGCATAATAAGCATATAATACGAGGAAATCATTTTGGATCGGCAGAGAAACTTACAGTAGGTCCTGACGCTCCTAATTCTCCTCCTCTACTCGGGTGTCTAAATAATCACCTTTTTAATTAAGATGACATAATTAGTCACTTATTCTATTTGTAATAATTTACCCGATTTTTCTCTTT